AGTCTTACCTTTGACAGTTCTCGGACCCTCTAAACATTAGCACTTCTTTGAAAACATGTCGGTGTTGTAGGGCTATTATGATGTGGTAAGTTGTCGAGCTTTCTTGACGACCTTGAGGAGAAGAGCACAAGATGGTTCCACCAACTCCTCCCAGGTTCTATTACAAACTTTGAGGGGTTATAGAGCTCTATCCTGAACTAGTATGCTAGCGCTGTAACACTAGAGAAAACTTACTTAACTATAATGGCTATGGGACAAAAAGAGGGCGAATCCTTGAGGAGTTATGTCAATCGTTACAACAAGGCGAGTATAGACATTCTTTCAGCCTCAGATGAAGTCAAGGTTGGAGGTCTAGTGAGAAGTCTGAGGGCGGGGGCGTGTAGGAGCTCCTTGGCTAAGAAGGGGGATATGACATATGACCAAGTCATGTGGCAATGTCGGAAATATGTGAATTTGTAAGAAATAGAAATTGCATTCTTGAAGCTCGAATGGACAACCCAGGCAGAGAAAGGCAAAAAAGAAAGGATAAGTTTGCCCAGACGAGACAAATCAGGAAGAAATGAAGATCAAAGTGAAGATAGGTGGAGCGAGCTGCCAGGAACGACAAAAAAATTGAGAACTATACTCCATTGAGAGCCAAGTTGCCGGAGGTCTTACATGCAATCGAACAGAGGATCGATGATAGGGTCATCATGTGGCCTAAATCCAGGAGAGAAAGGCCCAAAAGGCCGAACTCTAGTCGATATTGCAGTACCAAAGAGACTATGGTCATACCACGAAGGAATGCCGACACTTGAAAGACGATATCGAAAGGCTCATTTGAGCAGGGCATTGGAAAGAGTTTGTGAACAAAGACAAAGAAGAGAGAAAGGAGAAAAGGAGATGTCAGGAAGGCACAGAAAAGGCTAATAGATGACGAGGAGGACGATAGGGAAGAAGACAAAAACCAGGGGGCTCGTCAATATGAAGGTCAAAGAGGTCGATAAAGAGGAGTCATTCACATGATATCGGGTGGCCCCACTGATGTAAACTCCAATAATGCCTGAAAGAAGCATACGCAAACGTCAAAGAGAAAAATAGAGGAGGTCAACATAGCAACTCGAGCACCTATAATCATTTTTCGGTCTGAGGATACTCAAAGGGTACACCTACCCCACAATGACGCGCTGGATGTTTTGGACTACGAACTTCATAGACACAGGGGACTCAGTAGATATGATGTTCTATGATTGTTTTAAGCAACTGAAGTTGAATATCGATTTGAAGGAAGTGGTGACCTCTTTATACGGTTTTAATGAGAGTGAGGTGGTAGCCCTGTGAGATGTGGCTTTATAAGTGGCCTTAGGAACAAGAGTAACAAGGAAGGTGAAAATGGTGAGATTCGTGGTGCTAGACACGGAATCCTCGTATAATATTATCTTGGGGCGGACGAGTCTAAATGCGTTGAAGGCAGTAGTGTTCACGTATCACATAATGATAAAATATCCAATGGACGAAAGAGTAGGAGAGGTCGCGAGAGACAACGTCAAGATTGTACTATCAGGCCACTGTATGAGTGAACATAAAGAACTCCAAGAGGGAGAAGGAAATGCCGGGAGAAGAAGTGGACAAGCCAAAAAAATCGAGATCTAAAGTAGATAAGGGCAAGCAAAAAATAGATATTCAACCAGGAGAGGAGGTCGAAGAGGTACAAAGGGTAGAAGGAAAGGATGAAAGGAAGTTCAAAATCGATGCGAAGATGGAAGATCCTCTGAGGGTAGGCTTGATAGAATTGGTGAGAGAATTTGCTAACATCTTTGCCTAGATCCCAAAAAAGCTTATAGGGATCGAAGCCAGTGTCATTGAGCACATGCTCAACATTGATCTTAGTGTCAGACTGGTGAGACAGAAAAGAAGGCATCGTGGAGCAGAGATGGATAAGATAATTGAGCAAGAGGTCAAAAAATTGTTGAATGCAGACCATGTCATTGAAATACAATTCCCAGAGTGGTTGTCGAATACAATGATGGTTTCCAAGTCTGAAGGGAAATGGAGAATGTGCATTGATTTCCATGATCTAAACAAGGCTTGTCCCAAGAGCCACTACCCATTGCTACAGATTGACCAACTGGTTGACTCGACGGTGAGATGCGAGCTGCTAAGCCTAATGGACGAATCACATGGATATCACCAAATTCCTCTAGCAGAAAATAGGAAAGAGCTTCGGGATGAGTCGAGGTACATAATGATATGTTGTTATGCGCTCTGGGCTAAAGAATGCAGGGGCAATTTATCAAAGGCTGGTAAGACATAATATTTAAAGAGAAGTTGGGAAGGAATATGGAAGTCTATGTAGACTTCATGCTAGTAAAAAGTAAATAAGAGGAGGATTACGTCGAAGACTTGAGAGAAACCTTCGTTAAGCTGAGGAAATATGGGATGAAGATAAACCCCGCCAAGTGTTCTTATATGGTGAAATCTGGTAAATTTATGGGATGGTGACCAAGTGGGAGATAGAAATGAATTTCAAGAAAGTGAGTGTAGTTTTCTAAATGAAGTCCCCGAAGAATGTGAGGAGGTGCAGATCTTTATTGGCTGAATAGTGGGCTTAAGCCGTTTAATTTTGAAAGTCGTAGAAAAAAATGGACCACTATTCCGTGTTGGGATCTATGAGGATCTCGTTACAGCATAAAATTTTTGGTGATCTGGCTGATCTTCTAGATGGCCGTGCGCAACACAAAATACGTCGGGATCATGAACGGGTGGGTCGTGTGTCGGGCTCGCCGA